AAAAATAACAAAAACAAATAACTTAAGGACGAGCACACCTAAAAGTTAAACATTCTAATAATAGAAATATTAACAAAAACCAACAAAACCAACAACCACATGATCAAGTGAATTGCAGCGGAATAGCTGCGCTTGATTGTAGTTGGCTTAGCAAAGTGAAATAGTGGAAAATAAGCAACAAGAATTAACAAGACAAACTTAGCACAGTGCGTAGGCAACTGGCTGAGTCAGTGGTGATCGTCGGTTCGAATCCTACTGAAAGAAGTCTGATGAGGAAATGTGGTGATTTCCGAAATAGCTATCACTTCTACCATTTTTTCAAATTATTGTTGCTTTTCCACAATAAGTTTGCATTTAATACGGCCTCGAGCTCATAAAAATTGTTGAATATAATTGTTATAAGGCCATAAAAATAACAAAAACAAATAACTTAAGGACGAGCACACCTAAAAGTTAAACATTCTAATAATAGAAATATTAACAAAAACCAACAAAACCAACAACCACATGATCAAGTGAATTGCAGCGGAATAGCTGCGCTTGATTGTAGTTGGCTTAGCAAAGTGAAATAGTGGAAAATAAGCAACAAGAATTAACAAGACAAACTTAGCACAGTGCGTAGGCAACTGGCTGAGTCAGTGGTGATCGTCGGTTCGAATCCTACTGAAAGAAGTCTGATGAGGAAATGTGGTGATTTCCGAAATAGCTATCACTTCTACCATTTTTTCAAATTATTGTTGCTTTTCCACAATAAGTTTGCATTTAATACGGCCTCGAGCTCATAAAAATTGTTGAATATAATTGTTATAAGGCCATAAAAATAACAAAAACAAATAACTTAAGGACGAGCACACCTAAAAGTTAAACATTCTAATAATAGAAATATTAACAAAAACCAACAAAACCAACAACCACATGATCAAGTGAATTGCAGCGGAATAGCTGCGCTTGATTGTAGTTGGCTTAGCAAAGTGAAATAGTGGAAAATAAGCAACAAGAATTAACAAGACAAACTTAGCACAGTGCGTAGGCAACTGGCTGAGTCAGTGGTGATCGTCGGTTCGAATCCTACTGAAAGAAGTCTGATGAGGAAATGTGGTGATTTCCGAAATAGCTATCACTTCTACCATTTTTTCAAATTATTGTTGCTTTTCCACAATAAGTTTGCATTTAATACGGCCTCGAGCTCATAAAAATTGTTGAATATAATTGTTATAAGGCCATAAAAAAAACAAAAACAAATAACTTAAGGACGAGCACACCTAAAAGTTAAACATTCTAATAATAGAAATATTAACAAAAACCAACAAAACCAACAACCACATGATCAAGTGAATTGCAGCGGAATAGCTGCGCTTGATTGTAGTTGGCTTAGCAAAGTGAAATAGTGGAAAATAAGCAACAAGAATTAACAAGACAAACTTAGAACAGTGCGTAGGCAACTGGCTGAGTCAGTGGTGATCGTCGGTTCGCATCCTACTGAAAGGAGTCTGATGAGGAGAGGTGGTGATTTCCGAAATGGCTATCACTTCTACCATTTTTTCAAATTATTGTTGCTTTTCCACAATAAGTTTTCACTTAGAACGGCCTCAAGCTCATAAAAATTGTTGAATATAATTATTATATTTTTTTTTTTAATTCTGAGTTTAATTTTTGGTAGCCTTAAACTTTGAGATTTCCGTTTCTACCTTATATTTCCATTTTTCCATAATTTTCTTTTAATATTTCCGTTGAATTCACGAAGCAGGAAACTTTTGATTTTGGATTCTATTTGAGTTTTTAAGATTTAATTTTAAAGCATTAAATTCTTGGTTTTTTTTTTGTTTTTGAGGAATTTTTATTTCTGCCTTAAGTTTGCCTGTTTTAAACATAAGGTTTGGAGCTTTTTTCAACTGTGTTACGGTTAAATTTTTTAATTCATTTATTTTTCCTTTTAATTCTTGATTTAGAAGTTCTGTCTTGATCTCTCGGTTTTCAGTCAGACTGAATATAGATATTTCTTTATACGGTTTGAGATGTATATTAATATTGGATACAGTTTATTTTTCATTCATTGGATTTCTGGATTTGGTTCAGCGTTATTAATCAGATTTGTGTACAGGTGTGAGTCTTGAGTGAATGGAAGATTGGGCGGTTGACGAGCGAGAGACTGAGGATAGAGTGTTTGTAGGCGGTCTGGGTTTGCTTGACTCCAATCGCAGGGTTACCAGAAGTGTTGCAAGGGCCCTGGAAAACCAAACAAAATGAACAACAACCTCAAAGTCTCAAGGTGGGGGGCCGACTTCTGCAGCCATCAACGTCGAACAGCTGAGCCGATTAATGGCACAACAAGGCGACGTTATGGCAGAATGTTGAATCAGGTCCGCCAAGTAAGAGAGAACGTTCAGAACCTCAACAACAGAGTAACCCAGTTGCGTCGCAGGGATTGCGCTTGGACGCACCAGTGTTCAAATTTCGAAAGTGGAAAAAAGGAATTAAAGCAAGTGTTTTAGATTGTTGTTCTATTTAATAGTAATGGTTTTTGCGACAGTTTGATTACCTTGTGATGAGGTGGGCTGGTAGCTGCTGTGCTTCCGCTTCGATCTTCCAAAAAGAAGTAAAGTAAAAGATATACCGATTTGTACTTTACACCGCCAGACAGTTACCACTTTAAAGGGAAACTTAACGAAAGTTCACTGTCCGGCGGGATACACTAGTTAACGGCAGGAATAATCGTGTTAGTGCGTATATGTATGTGTTTTTACATATGCTAACATTATTGTAATAGTTGAGGTTTTTTTTATTTTAAAAACCTTTTTTTTTTGTTCAGCATCCGGTAACTACTGCGACGGTCAGCGCTTTGAACCTCGTTCTTCTTCTTCCTAAACTGCCATGAAAAGAGAGGCAGAATTAAAGGTACAACGGTGGTTACAATTCAATGCACTTCATTGAAAAAAATGGTAATTCATGCGCAAATAAATAAGTAAACTCAAGCATAATGGCAATTAGCTATAAGTTACGCTCTGTATACGCCGGAGAGAACTCATCCGAAGATGATACTCTGGGCTAAAAGAGGTCCGAAGGAGGTGGGCAGTGTCTCAGGCAAAATAATAATCCGCGTAGACGTCGTAAAATCCTTGGTCTGCCATTCGTATGTGCGCATATCGCTCAGCTATTGCGGGGTCTACACTTCTGGATGGGTTAACGCGATTGAAGTGCGGCGAGATAACGGCATGAGTCGCGATTAGATAATTTTTCCCATGCCTTCCCCTGAGTCGCAAAAGGCAGCCCTTTCTTTCGCCCATACGTGTTTCCTTCAAACGCAACTCTCTGGCTAAGTCAGACGAAATTATGGTGCGAAAGGAGCATACATCGATCAGGGCACGAACTAAATGTAGACACCCTCCAGCCTCGACTTTCACCACGGCCGTTGTTTCCGCAGTGCCATTATGGCCTAACGTTCCGTTTCGGAATGCGCGTGGTTTGAATAGCTGGCGAGACCGGGTCGCCAGTCCATCTTCCTTGCGTATGCGCCATGAGGACTTGCGGTTGAATCTACGCGGGAGAAAAGACCTAGTTTCCGCTCCGCGCAACCGATTCCGCTCATGCTGAAACAGGGGCCGGAAAGCCCTAGTTTCCGATCCCCCTTCGGTGATAGCGCAGAGAGACCGAGTCTCCGCTGCTGACTCTATTGGTCCGCTTTCTGCGGCTTCTGGATCGTTTCCCTTCCAAACACGGACGCAAGTATAGAGAGCGCACCGTCGGAACAGCCTTCTTCCTCCTCCGCCGCCGCCTGTTGTGCCCATGATTTTCTAAGAGCGTGTATGGAGAACGCCCCATCGGAACTGCCGTCCTCCTCCTCCTCCACCTTGTGTGCCCATGATCTTCTAGGCGGACTTGCGGGCTCGTTCCTATGCAGTGTCGAATGATGTTTTTCACCGCATCGCTCGTGCAGTTTTTGAGCTGGTGCGTCATGGCGAGGCAATTAGCGCAAAAGCGGCCCAGTTGTGCTTCCCGTAATCTCTCCTCAGGGGATTTAGCGCGATAGACTGGGCAGAGCCTAATAGGATGATCCGCATCGCATAGATGGCACGGCTGCAGATAACGGTGGCTGCGTAGTTCAGTCCTTTTTCGCAAGGCAATAAAGTAAGGCATGTTGTTTTCTGAAATTATGTCGTGGTTTTGTTTCTTTTCGAAGTGGATTTATTTTATATTTTCATATTTATGCGTACATACTTGACGGTATTGTTGGGTGGCGAGATTATCTGCATTAATTATTTAGATGAAGGGCACGGAAATTTCGTTTATACATGTAAAACAATGTTCGGTTGGTGTGGATATGGCATTATTTTTATTATTCTGTTATTCAAACATCCAACCAGTGGGAATGTAGCTTAATGTTAACTCACGACCTACAATATTTTGGATGATGGATTGCATGTATGCCATTAGAGGTGGACAAACATCGATGTTTGCTACCATCGATGTTTTCGATGTTTTAGAGCAAAACATCGATGTAACATCGATTGTTGTGAAAAAATAGGGCGTTCAAAGTCAAAATTATTTTGGTACCTTGGCACAATAAACAGGTAGCAGCATCTTAGCAAATCCAACTGCATGTATTTTGTTGTTGCCTGGGGTCCATAAAGTGTCAAAAAACAAATATCAAATTTGCTGAGTTCGACAATTCAAAAGAAAAGCAAAATGGTCGGCAAGTCAATAAGCGTGAGTATTGAAAATTATTATGTGAAATTTAAAAACTTTTCAAAGAGCATTACAACGCCCTACGTTGAGATATAGATGCAGAATATATGTAATATCATAACTAACTGATAAGTTTTTAATTATTTATAGTTATGGGCGTTGTGGAGCAGAAGCAGCAGACGTGGCTACCAATGCTGTGGATGGTGGCCGGCCATGGTGATACTTTTTCGGACTCACCCAGTCAACTGTAAGCTACGTATGTACTTCGTGTAGCAGATAAACCTGATTATTCTTGGGAAGAATACAATTATGTAAGCTACATGATTTACTTCGAATTTTCATGCGCTATGCTACTGCTGAATTGTTTCGCGGATGCCATGCCAAGGGAAACTAAATACAAACGCACTAATGTAGGTTTGTTTAAAGAGCAAACATTTTCCTTCACATTTTTTTATATGCTATTATCTTCCGTAGAACGAAATACCAGAGAGTTCGGCTAGTGTCTTATCCCGTATAACATACGCATGGTTTGGTGTTATGGTGGGGAAAGGTTAGCGTACCTTTGGGACTTGCGCCAACAAGACAGCTGTAAAGAAGTCATGCCAATATTTGCTTACTATTCTAATAAGAATGTGCGTAAGAATACTAATATTTCAACTCAAACTCCAACCCACCCAAAGGCTCAATATAGTAATGGAAAAGTAGAGTTTGAAAACCCACATGGACGAAGTACCGGCAAGAAGGGTGTCACTTCAATCATGCCGCCAATCATTAAATCATTTTGTGGAGTATGTTTGCTTGGTTCGCTAATGAAGTTGATTTGCGACGCATTAACTTTTGCACAACCTCAAGTGCTAAGTTTAATTATTGGCTTTGTGGAAGATAACTCCGAAGACGAAAAGGACAGGCAACCACAATGGAAGGGCATACTTTATGCGGCACTTCTTTTTATTACTGCTGGTGCACAAACTTTTAATTTGGGACAGTATTTTCATCGCATGTTCGTTGTTGGTCTACGTATACGCACAGCGCTGATCAATGTAATATATCGTAAAGCTTTACTTATATCGAATGCAACACGTAAGGAAGCGACAGTAGGAGAAATTGTAAATTTGATGGCGGTCGATGCACAACGCTTTATGGATTTAACAACATATTTAAATATGATTTGCCCAGCGCCATTACAAATTGCGCTAGCTTACGTGGCTCACAGCTTATTTCGTGCAGCTGCAAAATAAAACTTTTGAACCTTATAGAAGGAAAACTAACGGCGATATCAAAAATATTTAGATACACAATTTTTATAAAAGTATTTTTTTTATTTAAACAAGAACTTCATTTTTATATTTTTAAGTACTAGTGTTATTTATTTAACAAAGGTATTTGGAAAAAAAAAATTAAGGTCACAGCTTATTTCGTACACTGCCATCAGCTTTAGAAAAAGTTGTTTTGGAAAATGGTTTAGTATTTGGTATGGCCAAAGAACGTAAATCTATAAGAAGAGACAACTCGCTTGAAGTGTGGCGAGTGAGTCTAGAAGGTTTGCAAGAGGAATTCGCGTCCGTTTTGACATCAAGTTTCGTAAATGAATTCGCCGCGAAATCAAATTTGCAAAGGACGTTGTAGAAAGAGTGATCGATGATAGAAATAAAGAAAGGAAATAACAAAAAAGATGGCTGCGACTCTTCGTTTATTTGCCATCGGCATTTAACATACGCATCTGCGTAGATTTTCTTTCTTTTGTAATAATTGTAAGGAAATGAAATACATGCGCCATGCAAGACCTTTACAAACTTCCTCTTTAATATGGAAGTTGTAAAGTTGTAATTTATGAATGCAATATCCCTTTTAATTAACAAATAAATAAAATAAAATAATAAATATAACATGTAAAATCAATAAATAATTTAAACCAATTTGTACGTATGTACAAATACGCATATGCAACTAAAATACAACAACAACAATTTCATTCATAAATGCATGCGCATATTCTTCAAGGGCAAACTCATTCATTCATAAATTCAATAGCCATACATCTCCCCGCAAACTCATCGCCAGCAAGCGCAACTTCTGCGCCACAAAAATTCTAAAATGTAAAATTGAAGAAATCACAGCCAGTCAAATGAAAAGTTGCAACTCCGCTGTAAAATCTGAGGATGTTTGCAAAAATAACTTATCTCGAGCTTAGCCATTATTTCTCTAAACTTCGAAATCACAGTGCTCCTTCCAACTTTTAAATTATGAATTAGTTATATAATCAATTGAATTGAAACACAAGAAAACACCTTATAGTCATTTAGTAATTTATTTAAATTTTATTACAATTGTTTCGATGTCTCATAGACATCATCCTCAGACAGAGTCAGAGTTTCAACTAAAACTAAAACAAAAAATGTGATGTGAAAGCGTCAAATGGAAGAACGAAAAAGCGTTGACCAATACATACATAAATACAATACATATCTACATCCATAAATACAATACTAGTTTACTTCAAAATCAAGAAGAGTGAATAGAGAAGAGAAATGTGGACCTACGTCGCGATTTACTTTGTTTTCCTATGTAAATAAATGTACATAGACTCTAAAAAAAATGACATTGCGTGAGAATCTCAAACAAAGTTTACCATTGAGACCAACCTGCAAACCATCAAAAGAGACACTTGAAATGTACGAAGCCGTAAAATCGCTAAATAAAAAGGACATTTACATTACCAAGGCTGATAAAGGCAATTGTGTGATAGTATTAAACAAAAGTGACTACGACGATGGCATGCAAAAATTGATTGATGACGGGAACTATGTTCGAGTTAGAAATCCACTGAACAAAATGAAAACTGCAGTGAGCACAGCCATTAAAAATCATGCAGAGTTGTTTGGTGTTTTTTGGAAAAGTCGCATGATTGTTTAACATTCCCGTGTACCTTCAATTTATGGCCTTTTTAAGCTACACAAACCAGGTAATAACTATCGTCCGATTGTCTCCATTATTAACGTACCGCATTCCGCTATTTTGAGATGGCTGGGTGAAAAATACAGAAAAATGAAACAATTTGATCGCTTTTCAATCAAAAATTCGTTTGAATTGGTCAATGCATTGGATGGTGTTCGTTTGTGCGATAATCAACAGCTTGTTTCGTTTGACATTAAATCTTATTTTTCGAATGTACCTAGAGAAGGCGCGCTCATGGCTGGATTGGTTGAATCGGCAAAATATTAACCCTTTGGAAAAACAAGCATTATTGCAGTTGACGAAGATGAGCATAGAACATTCTTATTTCCAATTTCGTGAAATATTTTATTGGCAAAAGGATGGTCTACCGATGGGTCACGTATTAAGTCCATTTTTATGTAATTTATTTATGGTAACCGTTGAACAAAACCTTTTGGGTAGCGCATTATTCCCGCACATATACCATCGATATGTTATGTTGAGGACTGTTTCGCAGTTGTTGCTGCGGATAAAATTGACGACACTTTGCAAATGTTCAACTCAATTTGTAATGAGATCCAATTTACTTGCGAGAGAGAGGTAGACAGAAAGCTCCCGTTTCTCGATATACTAATTGAACGGGATAGTGACAACAATATTATATTTGATATTTTTCGTAAGAGCCCAACGACAGATAGATATATTCCAATCGAGTCCAATCACCATCACTCCCACAAGCATGCAGCGTTCAACTCTATGATACATCGCCTCGTAAACATCCCATTGTCAACAGAGAATTTCGTTGCGGAACGAAACACAATCGCTCGTATCGCAAATCTTAATGGCTACACCACGTCAACCATAGATCGTTTAATTGATAAATATTCAAAACGTTAATCAAAAAGTCTTGTATCTTCGTTTTTTGAAAAGAAAAATTATTTAAAACGTTGTTCTATGTTGTACAATTCCAATAATTTGAGTTGTTTTTCAAATGTTTTAAAAGAAAGAAAATATTTTGTTAGCTCCAAAAAGTAATACAAAATTAAAATCATTGTTGTGTTCTACAAAATATAAAGGCGTTAGCATTGAAAAACCAGGTGTCTATATAGCTAATTGTGATTCTTGTCATTGTGTTTATGTAGGTCAAACTTGCCGGTGTTTAAGAATTAGATTAAAAGGACATTTAAATAGTATAAAAAATATGGCCTGGCAGAACATATTTTGTTGGAAAAGTATAAAATCAATGAAAATAACTTTAAACTAATCGCCTCTGAATTAAATCGCAACCGCTTAAACATTTTAGAGTCTATGTACATTTATTTACATAGGAAAAACAATGTAAATCGCGACGTAGGTCCACATCTCTCTTCTCTGTTCACTCTTCTTGATTTTGAAGTAAACTAGTATTGTATTTATGTATGTACATATGTATTGTATTTATGTTTGTATTGGTCAACGCTTTGACGCTTTCACATCACATTTTTTGTTTTAGTTTTAGTTGAAATTCTGACTCTGTCTGAGGATGATGTCTATGAGACATCGAAACAATTGTAATAAAATTTAAATAAATTACTAAATGACTATAAGGTGTTTTCTTGTGTTTCAATTCAATTGATTATATACATAAGTCATTTATTGCTCAAAATTCATCTTAAAATTAGACATTATATTAATTAGTTGTTTAAGATTTTATTTTAATAAAAAACAAAATAAACATACATTTTTTGCACAAATGGCCCATGATATTTTGATGTTAACTCAAAACTTCTAAAATCACATACATAGATGGTTTTACAACAAATGTAATTAGGCAACACGGTTGCCTTCACCAGCTTCGGTCAAAAATTTTAAAATTTTTGTAAACCGAGCGCTTGCGATTTGATTACAGTTGACTCTAGATACGTCGAGCAACATGTATAGGGATTCAAAAAATTTAATTTTTTGCATTATTGATGATTGCAAAGCTCTGAAGCATGTACAAGTGAGTGTATACATACAGACCTATTCTGCATTGGTAACACAAATTTTGTTTACTATCATCAAAAGTTTCAAGCACAAAATCGTACATTAAAAGGCGTATTCTGCGTTGGTAAATTTTTTTTACCGAAAATTAAAGTTCCTCTTTTTTTTAAATAAATATCCAGTTGAAAACAAAACATAAGTACAACCATATATAAATGCATAGATAAACGTACACTCATTTTGTTTAAAATAATGATTACTTTTGTCCCAAGAATGATAGAATATTTTCTGGATCGTGCTTTTTGTCCATATACACCAACAATCGGCACTTGTTGGAAAACACTTTGCACTCACAAACACCTTTTATTATTAATATAGACACTTTCACATACAAGCACCTCAGTATTTCAAATATTCACTGAATATTATATATTTTACACTTTCATTTATTTATTTTCTGAATTAAAATACATTTCCCCAACCACTTGTGCGAAACAATTACCGAAATTCACATTTTCCGCTTTTATTCTGTTTTGCTTGCATTTTCTGCATTCGAGGCGAAAACAAAAATCTGCCGCGGACAGAGTCAAAACGGAGACGAATTCCTGTTGCAAACGTTTCAGATACGGTCAAAATCGTCGCGGCACATTTTCAAATTAACGAGTTGTCCCTTCTTATAAATTTACCTTCTTTGGTATGGCCTCGCTTTTTTTTAATTACATCCTTAAGACGATTTTCCATCGAGGCAACAAGTTTTTGAGTAGTTTCGCGGGGGATCTTATACCATTCCTCGACCAGAGCAGTTTTTAAATCGCTAAGATTACTAATCTGCCTTTTACGTATCGCCAATTGCAAAATTGCCCACACATTTTCAATGAAGCTTAAGTCGGGAGATTGTGGGGGCGGATTCATGAGATGTGGACAGTTCCATATTAGCCATGATTGCACAATCCCTGATTTGTGTTTCTGGTCATTGTCTTGGTAATACCGGAAACGATCGCGTACACCCAAAGCATCGGCACTTTGCAACACATTGTCTTTCAAAAGGTTTAAGTACAAATTTTTGTCCATCGTTCCATCAATAAAATCTATGTTACCAACTCAAGAGGCAGCTATGCAAGCCTAAACCATCACACTTCCCCCACCATGCTTTACAGTTGGCTTCAAGTTTTTATTTTGAAGCTCTGTATTGGCTTTACCCCACACGTAATTCATGCCATCCGAACCAAAAGTATTAAATTTTGACTCGTCAGCAAAATGTACGTCTTCCCAGAATGAAATTGGCTTTGTCACGTGGTCCCGGGCAAATTTGAGCCGACTTTGAATATTTTTTTTTCGATATCAACGGCTTTTTGCGAGCTACTCGGCCATTGAAGTCGTGTTCCCTCAGTACACGACGCACGGTTTCGGCACAACATATTTTACCCATTTCATTCGCAATCTCTACCACCAATTTGGGAGCCGATATCTTCGGATTTTCCTTAGTTTTCCGGACTATTTTCCTTTTGTCAGCATCTGTAAAAATTTTGTTTGGCGCATTTCTGCCCTTGTCCGCCACTCGATTCTCGCGCACAAATCGCTGTATGATACTGTACTTACACTCATTCCTACCATATCCGCTATTTTCCGCTGGCTTTCTCCTCTCTTAAAATGATTCAAAACCAATTCTCGCTTTTCTAAACTTGTCCGTGGACCCATCTTTAAAAAACCTGGTATTACAATATTTTGATGCGCGATTAAATTAAATTAGAAGAAAAGAATACCGATTAAGGAAGATGCACGTGTTCCACAAAAATACTATTAAAAGAAGCTACACGAAATAAGCTGTGAGCTTTTTGTCTCAGAAATATTTTTTTGACGTATTTATAAAAGCAAGCTTAATTTTTCAGGTTTTCTTTATCACTTATCCTATTACACAAATATGTAGCTAAAATTTTACACTTAACGTTTTTTTGATACCATCATTAGTTTTCTTTCTATAAGATTCAAAAGTTTTATTTTGCAGCTGCACGAAATAAGCTGTGAGCCACTGTATGTACTTCTTGTGGATACAATTGAGACCCTCAGTCATCATACAGTTCTATAAGTAACGTAACTCTTCTTCTTACCGTTTTTTATGGCAGGCTGTAGGTGTGATTTTGGCAGGCTCTAGGTGTGTGTTTGCTAGTGTATTGGTGTTTTTGCTTGAGAGTATTGGTGTGGTTGCTAGCCAAAATGACGTTAGAATGGGTTTTGTGAAGCACCTTCAGGGTTTTGTGAAAATGTTGCATCATTTTTTGAAGTTTTAATTTTCGAACCGGGTTGTCGTGTTATACTTTTTTCAAGTTTAAATTCTTTAGATTTTTTGTTTTGACATTGTAACTTAAATGCGAATTGTTGCACAAAAATAATTTAAAATATGGTAAAAAAATTCAGTTTTATGAAAAATATTAGTTTTAAATTTTTTGAGCTCCGAAATAAATTTTTATAAGCAAAAGAAACATCTTTTGCTGTGTAATTTTTAATTTCGTACTATTGTGATAAGGTAAGGCAACCCTCTTGGCATTTATTTCAGATATTCAAATTGAAAAAAATAAGACGCAGGCATTCTTTTATTCTTTCAATACATAAATTGAATATTTTTAATAAAATATACATATTCTTCCTGAACTACAGATTTCGCTCAAGTGGTACCGTGTAGTAACAATTCAATAGGTAAGTTATTTTAATGTATGCCATTTACATATGTATGTATATACATATGTACATATTTATTTGAACATAGTCGTTATAACTTTTTGTTTGCATCTTTTCAGAAGCAAAATGGTGAACAAAAGTTGCATCGTAGGATGTCCATTGGGATGTCCTTTATATGTATTCCCTCCGTTGGGAGAAATGACCAGGTGAGTGATATCAGTTTTATATGTACATACATATATACATATGTATATTAATATAATTATAATTATATTAAAGTAAATATTGCACGTAAAATAATAAAGAGGATTGATTTCAAACTTATGTTTTTGGAGATTTTAATATACAATTAAGCTTGATAAGGAGAATATGTTCAAGCTAATAGATAACTGATATACCCAAAAATTGCGAATGTACCTATGTACTCTTCTACTTTTTTTTTGGTCATGCATATATTTAATTCTATTTATTGTTGAACGTGCAATATGTAGAAAGTATTATTTGCAAATAATGCAAAGTGGTAAATTTTGCCGCATAATATCGAATCGAGAGCGTAATAACATGGGAGAGCTGCAAATTGTTGGTAGTGAAAGTTTTGCTAGCAGAAATTAGCTAGCAGAAGAACAATAATAATAATAAATATCGAAAGCTACCATTTGTTGAATTGGTTAAGCGTAAACAAAAGTAAAAAGAGTGGAAAATAAAATTAATTAACTAATTGATGATAAACAGGATTGTGTAAATGCTTGTGCGCAAAGCAAAGAATTTAAAACTGATTTATTAATTGTAAAATGTTTACAGCGGGAATATCAAAGCAATGCAACTGTTTATTCGTAAGTTTTTACTAGTTTTGCGTTCAATAAATTTTTCTGCCAGTTTTCTCTTTTTCTAAATTTTACGCTCTATTTAGCTTTTACGCTCTCGCTGGAATTTTTTACTGGAAATGTTACTATACACACCTATTATTTCGCGCAAGCAAAAAATAAAGAAGATATCAATGGTTAAAATTAATTTTTTGATTATTTTAAATATTAATGTCTTCTGAACTACATAACTTATTAAAAAACTAATGATGGCAAAGTAAAGGTAATTAATGGGTCTTTTACTTGAGAACATAATTTTTTCGTTTTTTTTATATATATTTTTAAGCCAGAAATACTTAAAAAAAAAAAACAAGTATACTCTTTTAAATGGCGTTTATTTAAAATTGGTTTTAAAAAGGGTTATAATACATAAATCGAGTAAAAGGTATTTAAATTATCTTTAAATAAACATCAATACTTTTTTGATCGGTGAAGTAGTTTCCGAGATATTATAAATGTAAAAAATATGAAAGAAATATATGTATGTACATAAAACAATATTTTTTTGTAATGTTCGATTTTTTACAGAAACCAATTTTCCAATTAACGGACCAGAACGGGTATCGTTATAACCAATTTTTTTACTTTATTGTTTTTTAACACATCATTTTCGATTTCGCTTTACTAATGTAAATACATTTAACCATCTCCCTTTGCCCGTGATTTCCTATCGATTTCCACTTAACATAAAATTTCAATTTCGCTTTACTAATTTATTTTTGACTATGTTTTGGTTTTCAATTTTAACTTTCATTAAACTAACAACTTTAATTGGACTAGCAAGTGTTTACTAAATTTGGTTTTGGAAAATCTTTGCTTATATTTAATATGATGTATTAATAGGTTTCTATGATAAATGCTAGAAGTTCCAAATTTTCCGCCAGTATGCCAGCAAAAACTTCCAACTTCTAGGAGTTAGTACACACACCCCATATTTCCTATACTAAAACTGCTTTGTTGTATTTTATTTGTATTTTATTCTATTTATATATGTACTATATTACCATTGTATATGCATTAATTAGTATACTAGTTTTGCATATGGTATTTAGCTTTAATGCTAATTACTTCTTTTCAATAGGCGGCGTAAATGGCTCCAGTTGTTGGGTGTGGTGGGCCCAACAGCGAAACATATTTTCGCCTGCCAGAGGCATTTTTCCCATCAGATGAGAAGTAGCCGAGGCCTTCACAAATGGGCAGTTCCCGATATTAATTTAAGATTATATTCGCCCGCAGTGACAGCTAGTAGGGAAAATGAGATTACTGATAGGCATGTATCAGGCAGTTTAGTTGAAGACGTACAAGGAGTCATAGAAGTAGGAGTTGAAGATTTTCAGCCAAGTTTCGATTCTATTATAGAGATTGATAGCGAAATTTTGGATTCGAGCGCTGACCCTGTAATAGAACTTGGCGTTGAGGATTTTCTGCCGATACCTTTTTCGCCCGAAGCAGCAGATAGCGCCTCGACTTCAAATTGCGAATTATTTGAGGTAGAGGCATCCTTTGAAAAATCCCTTCAATCCCACCAAGATGAAGAAGACACACCTTCTTCCTCTTTAGGTAGTTCCAATTTAGTTCAAACCTGGGCAAACAGTCGGCAATCTCAAACAGATTTTTATTTAAGTGATGGGACTCCTAGAAAGAGAAAGTATCGGGAGGAACTAGATAGTGCAAAAGATGAGATAAAATATTTACGCAATAAGGTGAGAGTTTTAGAAAATAGAGTAGAATATTTGTTAAAGGAGCCAAGTTTGCCTGTCAATTCACAGTATAGACTAATTTCAGAGCTAATTTGCAACTTGCCTGCACATTTAGCGATATGTGTGAAGAATTGCCTTAAAAATGCCCCCCGAACTCCACACGGGTATAGATTTGACAGAGAACTGAAAACATTGGCTCTAGCAGTTAAATTTTTATCACCTATTGCATTTAGATATTTAAAGCCCCTTTTTAAATGGCCCTCCAAAAAGACCCTAGAGTTGTTTGTTCAAGGCTGGCCACGTAACCCTGGCTGCAACTATAGCAGCTTAAAAGCCCTGGAGTTAAGAAGCCGAGGTTTCACGGACGCACAGAGATATGTTTCGATCTGCTGTGACGAAATGTCTCTGAAAACTAACGTTCAATACGAAAGAAGTAGAGACATGATTATAGGATTGGAGGATTATGGCGATGAAAATCGCACACCAAGTGTAGCTTCTAGTGTTTTAACAATTTTGGTCCAAGGCATTGGTGGAAACTCTTGGACTCATCCCTTAGCATATTTTTTTGTTCACAAATCGTGCAAAGGTCATATAATGGAAAAATATATTTTCCAAGCCATAGGTCAGCTCCAGAGTATTGGTCTGCGTCCGTGTCAACTTGTAACTGACCAAGGCTCCAACTTCATGAGTTTTTCTAGGATAGTAGGAGTTACGAAAGACAGACCATTTTTTGAAGTTAATAGCGAGAAAATCTTTTATTTCTTCGATTCTCCCCATCTCCTGAAGAGTACGCGGAATTGCTTAGAAAACCAGAAAAATAGAGTTAGTTTTCATGGCAGACCTGTAGACTGGATGCACATCATCCATGTATATGAAAAAGGCGCCAATTATGACATTTCTTGCACTCATAAATTGACCCCGGCACATGTAAGACCTAAGCCTTTTAATAAAATGAGCGTGCAGTTAGCTTCTCAGGTTTTCAGTAATTCTGTGGCAAGTGCAATGTTTGCTATCTACAGCTCCGGGTTTTTAGATAATTCTGAGTCTCCATCTTTTTTCAATACAGCCGAGTTTGTTCTTTTTTTGATAAGTTGTTCAATATTTTCAATAGTCTCGTGTTTGGAGCAACCGGTAATTTCAAACAACCATTTTCAGCAAGTGCGGACCAATTAAGTTTTCTTGAGGAGGCCGAACAGTTTCTTAATTCAATGAAAGTGCAAGATAGTTTGGATCGTGATATCACCAATACCTTTTGTTTCATTAAAGGTTGGCTCCTTAACATTAGGTTTGTTCGTCGAGCAAAAAATTTGTACGAATTTGTACGAATTATCACGATTTTTGCCCAAATCGCGTTCGTGCAGACCAAAAAATTATCCAACACTCAAAAATTGTGAGAGCAAATTGACAGTTCTCTTGGAGAGCAGTTGCAAATTTTTTGTTGGAAAAAATTTTGCCAGCAAGAATTTGCAAACACGAAAAACATGTGGTTGTGGCGCATGGTTGCATTTTTGTCTACAATAATTTGAATAAATTAGTTCGTTAAATTTAAAAATTTATAAACAAGAGCGATTTTTTTATGAAAAAAGGAAGTAAATAATTGTTGATATAATTAATTTAGTTAATTCCAATGATTTGAACTTAATTCGGCTGAAAAAAATGGTATTCGCAATCGGAATGCAATTGCAACCAGAGTCGATTTAAGAAACCCGACAGCTAGTACGATGAAGAATTGAAATGTATGTTAAAGAAAGTCAGAACAACAAGAAATATACATGTATGATCCTGTTTTTGGCCATCCGAAAGAATTTTAAAAATTCTATAAAAATTTTTTATGTTTGAAATGCAACCGTGGACGCCAGCTGGCAGCGAAACTTGCAAATTCCTGCAAATTTGCGTTCGTGCAGAAATTTGCAAGTTTCTCAACATGAGAGAGAATTTGAGAGAATTTTTTCTTACTCTCTGATATTTTGAGTGTTGGATAATTCTTGCTGGATTTTCGACGAACAAACCTATTAATAGTTTACGACATTTGTGGAGCTTTTGGTCACACCAAGGTTTCACCCATTTAATGACTAGGAAGTTATGCCAGGATAAGATAGAAAACTTTTTCGGGCATATACGAAGAGGTGGGGGATTTGATGTGAGAATAACTCCACAGCGTTTCTCATATCTATTTAGACAAGCGTGGGGCATAGGCTACATTCGATGTGTTGACAAGGGAAATTGCGAACTCTTGCCCGCGGATCAGTGGGAATCAGTTTCTAGTAGTACCCTCCAAAATGCATGTAATGACGCTCTGGTTAGAGATACGTCTTGGCAAATTTTTCAAGATTTGCCTAGGCCTTCCCTACACTCCGTTCAAAATCTTCAAATTGATGTATCGGTTGAAGTAAATGAAAGTAGTTTCCTTCATCGCAGTGCTTTTGTCTATTTTTGTGGCTATTTATATTTTAAATATTTTAAAAGTGCATAGTTGTTTAATGCCTCTCCCAAGGTTCGATGGTTTTATTACTGAAAAGGATTTCTACTTTACTAGAGAAAAACAGTTCAGTAATAGCAATCTTGTTAAGCCTCCAAAGGAATTCATAAATTTCATTTCAAACCTTGAAAAAATATTCACCGATCACTTTGATTCGACTTCTATATGATTGGGTTTTCTCAAATTTTATTTGAAAAGATGGTTGAGGTAGAGCCATATATTTGCTGCGAAAATTGTAATCCAGATATTATAAAGTCTTTGTTTATAACGAATTAGAACTTATTTTTTGATTAACTGCTTTAATAAAGAGGCAAAGCAATCTTACTTTAAAAACATAAAATTTTTGAGTGTAAAATACCGTTAAGGCAAACATATAATAGTGGGATTCACGAAACGTCGCACATGTTTTTTTTTTTTTTGAATACTTAACTTTTTTTTGTTGTTTTTTCAACATATTTTGTGGGCCGTCAGCCGACAGGTGTGCGGACGGTTGTCACTCCTTTGGGGGTGTCTTCCGTCCCCATGCACTGCCGGAAGTGCGGCTACACTCTCCACGCGGGGGCGGCTGGAAACAGGCTATAGCTACGGTCATGTCTCTGGCTATAGTGCTGGCTAGTGGTAGTCGGGGAGAAGAAAACTCCCGGGAAGAAGAGGCTAGTATTAGGGGACAGTCTGAGGACGGAGATGACTTTGGTCTCCTACCGTCTCTCAGATTGCCCACTGAGCTGCCGTTTCCTCTCAAAAAATTACCCCAACTCCAAGGTGGAACAGCGTATGCCGATGGATGCGTGGCCAGGGGGGAGCCTGGTCGTTAATATGCGAACTCTGGATACCGGTCTCTCTCCAGTTTCAACTAGACTTACCGTGGGATCGGGATTACCGCGGCGTACTTTTCCCTTTTCCCCTTCACTCGTGGGAACAAAATGAATTCAAATAAAAATAAACCAAATTTAGATGAGCCCGATGATGCTCAGAAATCATCACTCACTGCAGCCTTTGGGCTGCTCTCAACTTCCTCTGACGGAGCCATTGGGCACGTCAAAGGAGGAGCATGCAATGTTTCGTCAGGTGCTGAGTCGGACAGCACGTTGATTCCTGACAGCATGAGCATTTGCTCTGAAAGTTCAGGGCTTACGGAAGTAGGCACAATGCTGCAAAAAGTGAAGCTGGACCCCAAGTCCAGCTTTGTTTACTTCAACTCGAAAGAGCGGAAGATTTTCAGGCGTGCCCTAGGCGAAGGCAAGACTAGGGAGGAAGCCTTAAAAATGGCCAAAACTACGTCAACGACCACTGGGAAGTTGAAACGTATTCGCCCCGAGGAGAAATCACCCAGTGGCAATGTCACGAAAAAACCCAGACCGGCTCACATGGGGCCCGCAAAAACCACCTTTAGCCGGGTGGTAAGTAGCGTAGACTTGGGTTTTGTTCCGGTTGACTCAGTCAACGATTCTTTAACAGTGGAGCAACTGGCACTGCTACAAGAGGCGATAATAGACGTCGCGATTGAGAACTCGAGCGACGACGTAAAGCCCGAGTTCGAAAGTTGTGCCCCTCGAGCTGGGTGGCTTCTTGTCGTCTGCTCGAACGCTCAAACAGCGACGTGGCTAAAATCGAACGTCCAGCTTATCAAGACCAAGTGTGGTCTGGACGTTAACCTTGTGGAAGAAAATGAGTTCCCTCGAACTCACGTAATCCGAGGATATTTCCCCCAGAGTTTCCAGCTCAGTAACGAGAAGATTCTGAACACCATCACTGCTCAGAATCGCATTTCGACCGCTGGCTGGAAGATATCGCACAGGCTGACAAGTGGTCAGTTTGTACATTTGGTACTGCTCATTGACCACGTATCAATGACGAGACTCGCTGCGGTGAATGGTCGGATAGCCTACAGATTCGGCCACATAAAATGACATCTTAGGGGCACTTCGCCTACGAAGGAGCCGCAGAGTGTTGAGACGGAGGCGGGGAAACCTACAGATGCCTCGACAGAAATCGACCTGGACTCTTGCTCATCCTCCAGCAAGGCCACTGGGCAGGCTGAGAGCTGGCACGAGGTCATTCCAGTCTCGAAAGCTGCCGAAGTGATGGCGGTGAAACCGACTCCGCCACAACTTCCATTAAAGGAGATGGTTGACCCCCCCTTGGGCCAGGGCGACCATCCTACCCGTAGTGACAACCGAGCAACTGTGCAGGCTGGTACTGCGTCGTCGGTGGTTGCATCGGCTTCAGAGAGGGATCAACAACGTCTCCCAACGTCCCAACGGAAGAAATGAGAAACGCATTTCATCTACTTTTTTTTAGTCCCTTTTTTTAACATATAAAATTAGAAGCTGTCGCCGTGGGTGAGTTATGTATATGTATTATAATTTAAATTCCGTAACTACTTCGAAGTTGTACATATGTATATGTATGTTTATTAATATATTTTACGTTATTGTTCTTACCCATTGTACCTGAATTTTCAATGGCATCTCATATTTTAATTTTCTACTAGTACAAGTAGTACTGTTTAGACACTGTTCTTCTGATGTATTAATGTGCATGTATATATGTAGAATATTTGCTTTATATGGGTGAAAATAGGCCTCAAGGGGAACCGAGCACCCAAAAAAAGTCGGTAACGCGCCTTTATTGCAACCTCAGCGGTGGTGTGGAAAAGCAATAATAAATTCCCATATTTAAATTTACTTTGAGGCTTTATGTAAAAAAAAAACTAATAAAACGTTTCACTTACCACCAGATTTATATGTACATATATCCCAATACCAATTTTTAAATATTGAATTTTGTATTTATTTATTCATAATATATTTATATTTATATATATGTATATATGTTAATTTAATTAAAAATTTTGCTATGCTAATAAGTAACTTTTTATTGTACTGTTATTTGTTGAATAAAAATAAATAAATAAATGAAACAATTAATTACGAAAGTGGTTGGTTTCTTTATTTTCATTTATGTACATATCCCACATTTGTTGCAAGAGTGTGCAGCTCATCGAATTCAATGAATTTATGAATTTATGAATTGTAAAGTTTTATTATACATACATATTTTAAATTTTAGGCCCAAAACGCCGTAATAATAAATAAGTAAATAAATACATATATATAAATGAAATAGGGCGTTTTTAAAAGCTTTTTGAGATAGGGCGTTTTCGAACTGGCTGCCGAGGTTTCCAAAAGTTGAAAAATTTGTATAAAAAAGTTAAGCGATTTTAACGGTATTATAATCACAAGAAAGGTAATCGATTTCCCTTTCTTCACATATATATATAAACAGTTCCAAAGTATTTATATTAGTTCACAAAAATTCAGTTTTCTTACATCTTTGGAAAATTTGACCGCGATTTTTCAGCATACATATAGATGTTTTCAAAAATTGAAAAATTTCTATAGAAAAAGATAAGCGATTTTAACGGTATTATAATCAAAAGAAAGGTAATCGAATTACCCTTCTTTCGATATATATGTGCAATTAAAAACCGTTTATAGAGGTTCTTAAATACTCAGTTTTCTTACAACTTTGCAAAATTTTATCGGGTTTTTTCTTTTTTATGTGTTAAAATAAATATGTACATACAATAGAAATAACTATTAAAACAATTTATTAAAAATTTGTTAGTTAAGCGTAAAATATTTGAAAATTAGACTAGAAGTGCCTTTACCACTGATTGCCGGCGTTTGTTGGACATTTTCAAATCCGATTGCAGGATCGCTGAACTCCATTTACATAATATTGCCTGATGAGGTGTCTGCTACTATGGCGATTGCATTCGTTCATCATTTAAATTTTCCGCTAAACATTTGAAAAAAAAACCAAAAATGCCTTAGTAATTAAATAACTACCTGCTACAATATAACCCACAGTGCAGGCTTTCCAGTAACTCTCAATGGCATTATCGAACTTCTCCAATTTTTCCATCCAGCATGGTGCTATGCGCAACTAAAAAATTTACATCCAACGAAGCTTCGACAAATGAAATCTAAAAGAAAAATTAACGTATTAAAATAACGAAAAATAAATATGTAATTTATATATTATTAAAATATTTATATAAATACATGTGTATATGTAAAATATATATGTACATACATATAGATGTATATATTTCCATTGCACTTTCTTCTTTTTACCTACATACATAGTATGTACACATGTAGGTAGGTGCAGCTCACTTTGTACAAATGTATTTGCAATTCCCTTTCTTTTTGTGCTTAACTGCATACATATGTATGTATGTACACATTTGTGCAGTTGCAGTTGGAGCGTTCATTTAGTGAAATATTCTTTTGCAATTTTTTCATATACGCCTCACTTTATTCTGTTTGCACACATATCTACACATGTAGGTACCCAGCCAATATGCTGGTTGGTTGGAAAGATGCAACTAGAACTGATGCTAATAATGCAGCGAATGCAAATATTATTCCTGACCAAAATGACTGTTTTCAAAAACGTATCAATTCTTTAGTGCACAAATAAACGAAATTTGTTTGCATTGGAAAGCCGCCAAAAGGTGAGAGTCTACTGCACTTTGCACATATTTTGCAGCACACTTTTTGTTCTTTACATACATATGTACCTATTTGCAGCTGGAGCATTCTGCTGCACTTTCTAACATACATATGTATGTATATATTAGCACTGCACTTCTTTTTACCTACATATGTACACATTTAGGTAGTTACAGCTGGACCATTCTACTGCACTTTTTAAATATTCGCACACTTTTAAATTTTATTGTTTATATATATGTGTACACATTAAGGTAGTTGCAGCTACACTTTGTACAAATGCCCTGGTACAAAACTCACCGAACAATGTATTGTCTTCATTCCCCTCGCCAACAAACCATGCTTGCACAATTATTCGTGCGTGTTTTAGGCCAATGGCATTTTCGCACTAAGTTTTTCAGCTACATTCA